CCCGCCGGGGCGGCTCCCGGGGCTCCCGCGCCCCTGAGGGCCGGGCACGGCCCCGAGCCGCTCTCGCCGAGCGCCCGCAGCTCGCACGGCTCTGGCTGCGCGGGCCGCTGCAGCGGGACGGGCCCGGAGCGGCAGGTTCGCAGCGCGGCCGTGGTAACAATGTGAACTTTCTTTCACTGGGTTTGCTCCCGTGCCTCTTTCTTCAGCCGCCCCTCACAGCTGGATTATATGAAATTACAAACTCGAGAAACACAGCCCAGCCAGCCTGCTTTACACGACAGCTGAGAGATTCTGTATTTCCAAAAGCTGTTAAAGAAACGTGGAAAATAGCTTATTTTTTCCTTGGAAACACTCTCTGGGGAAGCAGAAAATGCAGTGTAGCAGGTTGTGCTGGTTTTGATAGCGATGGAGTTAATTTTCTTCTCAGTAGCTGGTGTGGGGCTGTGGTTTGGGTTTGTGCTGGATGCAGTGCTGGTAACTCAGATGTTTTTGTTACTGCTGAGCAGGGTTTACCCTGAGCCGAGCCCTTCTCTGCTCCTCAGCCCAGCCCAGCAGCGAGAGGCTGGGGGTGCACAAGGAGCTGGGAGGGGACACAGCCAGGGCAGCCGAGCCCAGCTGACCCCAGGGATGCCCCAGAGCACAGGGCTCATGCTCAGCTCAGAAATCTGGGGGAGAAGGAGGAAGGGGGGAATTTGGAGTGATGGTGTGTGTCTTCCCAAGACACCGTTCTGTGTGCTGGAGCCCTGCCTGCCCCGGGAGGCGGCAATGGGCTCCCGTTCCGGCCGGGCCTGCGCTCTCCCTATGGAACTGTTTTGGTCCCAGCCCGCAGCGCCGCCGCCCCCTCCGTGACGCCACTGTGACGTCACACCCCCGCCCTCCGCCGCCGTTGGTGCCGCCCCCGGGCGCCGCCCCCCGCCGTGGTGGTAGAGGCTGGGCCGGGGGCTCAGCCACATCCGGCTCCGCCCCCCTCTCCCCGCGCCGTTGGTACATCCCGGGACCGTCGGGCTGCCGGCGCAGGAGTCGGTGCAGCCCAGGCTCCCCCCCCGCGCCCGCCGTAGTGGTAGAGGCCGCGATCGCTCCTGTCCGTCAGCGCCGCCGCCGCCTCAGTCGGAGCTCGAACCTCAGCCGCGCCCGGCGCTCCCTCCGGCAGTGTATGCCTGAGCTATAACCCTCAGCCCGCCATGTCCACTCCGGCCCGTAGGCGCCTCATGCGGGACTTCAAGAGGTACCGAGGCCGCGGGCCGAGGGGAAAGGGGCGGGCGGGCGGGAGCAGGACGAAGGGCCGGGCGCTACCGGGGGAGGAGGGGGCAGCACAACATGGCGGCGGGGCAAGGCGCGCTCCGCTGATTGCGTAGCGCGGGCGGCGCTGCCTGCCGCGGGTTACGCCGTTTGCGCAGCGGCGGCCGCCGGTCCGGGTTACGCCGTTTGCGCAGGCGGCCGGTCCTGGGCCTGGTTACGCCGTTTGCGCGGCGCGGCCGCTGCCGGGGCGGGTTACGCCGTTTGCGCAGCGCGGGGGCGCAGGCCGCGCTCACCGTCCCTGTGCCCCGCAGGCTGCAGGAGGATCCCCCGGCCGGGGTGAGCGGGGCCCCCTCTGAGAACAACATCATGGTGTGGAACGCCGTCATCTTCGGGTGAGTCGGCGGGGAAGGGGGCGGCGGGCCGCGGGGGCCGCTCAGCCGCCGGGGGGTTGGAGCCGGGCTGCCAGCGGGGTAACGCTGTGCTTTGCTTTCCCTTCTCCAGGCCCGAGGGGACCCCTTTCGAGGACGGTAAGTGCGGCGTGCGGGGCTGGGGTTTGGCTGTCTCGGGGTGAACTGCTGCGGTTTGACACGGCCTTGGTGTCACTGCAACAGGTGTGGGCCTGGAGACGGCGGGGGGGACGTGGGTGCATGTTCACTGGACCACACACGTGTGCCTGATTTATGTAAATGCTGTTTTTCTAATCCTGTTCTCAGAAAGTGTTGTAGATTTAGATTGCTGTGTTTACTTACAAAAAATACAAATCAGCTTGTACAGTCTTGTATGTAGTTGCTACATTTATTATAAGTCGTTCTAAGGGTCTCTACTAACTTATCTGTTGAACTCTGGATCGTGTTTTTAGGGACATTCATGTTTGGGTAACCATCAATAACTTGGCATAGAACTGTTGTCTTTTGTTTGAGTTCTGTTTTTTTCTGATGCTGGAAGTGTTCTGTGAGCAAGTTCCAACGTGAGTCAGCTGAAGTAGGAAATGGGCTGAATGTTTGAGGAAGTTCAGAAGAGTGGCTTTTTCTTATCATTTATTTTGCTCTGCTACAATTGATACCATTCAGGGCTTAAGATTGAAAAGACTTTTTAAGTTTAAAAGCTGACTGAATAGGTCCTGGTGACATACCTGTAGTTTCCATCTGGCCTTACTGACTTTGACAGGTTTACTGATGCTGTATGAGTGCTCAAGCATCTTGTGAAAACCTGTTAGACATGAAATACTGTCTAACTGAAATCAGTGATGCATTTTTTAAGGTACTTTCAGTGTAGGCTATAATTAATCTTAGATCTCCATGACTCATGACAAAAGCATAGGAAAAATTCCTTAACTCTTCTGTTGTTCTTGGCTAACTCCCTTGTCTTTGTTTATCCATGGAGGTAGCACCTGTGGATGTGCCTCTGAATTGCAGACTGTATTTCTTTGTGAAGATTTTGAAGGCCTCAAATATTTCAGGCCTAAGAAAACACTGAAGACTCACTTGTTTTTAATGAATTTCATAAGTTAAGAAGTTTGCTGGAGTAGCAGCTTCAGCAGTCTAATGTTTAGAACTTGGACTTAAACATTGCATAACAGAACAGCTAGACTAAATGTATTTTGCTGTCTCATTTGGTAACCCTTAAAGAAGGGCTCACTTAACTTCAGTGGGGGTTGCTAGAGCTGCTTTAGGCTCTTGGAGCACTGCTGCTAATAGAGTGATTCACTGCTTGGAGCAGAAAGCTGTCTCCTTGCAGTGTGCTAAAATGCAGGTTCTTGCCATGCTCAGGCTCTTCCAGCTCAGCATGTGGTTAACAGATGCTGTAAGGGCTTTTTTTCCATATATTTCCATTTAGTTGCAGAAGGTTGAGGACTGCTTTTGAGAGCCCTGACATATTGATTTCCTCTGTGCTTCCTGAGGCAGCACTGTGTCTTTATCGTGGGTACTGAGGACATGTTGCACTCACAGCAGTTTGAGGTTCAGACAGATGCTTGAGGCTGCTGCTGCTGTCCTCCTGCTTTGCTTGATGTCATAATGTAATCTCAGGGTGTGATGGATTGCTCTTTTCTTAGCAAAGTCTGTGTTTTCACAGTGTGTGCTCAGGAAAGCAGATGTGTCTTGTGTTGCAGGATATCTGCTTATCTCCTCCTCTCTGGATGCATCTTACTTTCCTAGATAACAAAGCACTAAGTGGAGCCTGGAGATAGGGCTTGTTGGTGCCTCAGCTGTGCTTTCCCATTCAGTGAGTGGAGTAGCACAGTTCAGATGATGGTAGTGCAGTCCAGAGGCAGTTCAGCTTCATGTAGGTAAGGGTAAGGAAATTGTAATTTAACCGCATGTTAGTTTGGACGTGCTTTGCAACTGCACAGGCCTTTGTGACTCAAAGATACACAAACTCTATAATCATTCTCATAAAGCCTTTGCAGGTCAGTGTTCTTTTTCATTTTTAGCCTCTTTCACTCTGTGGTGATACTGTAAAATTTCAGATAGCTTAGTTCTTGTAAAAGTAGCCTGTGAAATTTGGGGAGGGTTGTTATTCTAGAGGTATAATGATACCAACATCATGAGAATTACTGTTCTTTATCCTTGTTCTGGTGAGGCCCTTCTCTGCTTGCAGCTTCTGGGGTGGCGTAGTTTGTCTGGGCTGCAAACCTGAAGTTGAAACACATTTGTTTACTTGCTGTGCAGCATTCTGCAGCTGATATCCCTCCTTCTCCACCCCCAGACTTTGGAGGGTGTTTTCACAACTCAGTGTGCAGGCTGGCTCAGCTTAGGAGCAACCACTGATTTAGATCAGCAGCATAGCTTCCATCTTCTGGTTTAAGAGGATTCCATTGCAGGTGTCTGCACAGGACCCTACGGATATTTATCCTGCCCTTCACCGTATTTCTAAGAACCTTTGTGTGTGGCATCTAAAGTGGTAATGCTGGCACAGCCATGGAAATCCAGGCTGTCCCAGTCCTCTTTCTCTGGAGCTGGATGATGGTGCTGTGGTTAGTGTGGGATTCCTGGCTCAGAGAGTTTGAAGTAGTTCAGCTGTTGTGTCCTGCTTTGCTGCGATTGTGCAGGAGGCTTGAGCAGAGAACACAAGGCATTTGTCTTCTGTGTGGTTTATGCCTTGCTCACGGAATATGGATCCTTTATCCTGGTGCAGGAGTGAATCGTCCCTGCTTTTTGGGCGGTGGAATGGAGGGATTGATCTTGGGGGCTGCAGTGAGGGGGCCCTGCAGGGACACGGGCTCTGCTCTGTGGAGTAGCTGGGGCTGGTGCACAGGCTGTGCAGAGCCTCTCCTGGCTGTGTCAGGGTCTCAAATCCTGAGGTAGGAGGGATCAACAAGGTAAGTACAGGGCAGAAAAGAGAATGTTTGCCTAAGATTAGTGGTGATGGCAATATCAATAATGGCAGTAAATATGATAATTCATGGTTTAAAAATGTCTGTCTAGGGTAAGTTGTGAGAAATACCAGTTGAAAGCATTAAAATTATTGACAGAAGGCCCAGAAGGCCTCATCCCCAGCAGTGTGTTGTGATACCTGTTGTGGGCTTTCAGTGTGAGTGACCCTTGGACTTTGGTGTGTCACATCTCTGGATGTGCCCTTTAATAAAGCTCAGTAGTGAGGGTTTGCATACTGTAGAGCATTTCCAAAGAGCCATTGCCACTCTGGGCCCTGACTTGGAAATCTGAGTAGGTAGATAGATACTCCAGCTGGATGTTGCTCCAGATGAGCCCCTTGCTCAGATTTGTGTTAAAAGTAGCACTGTCCTGTCTCTGGTGGGACAACAGCTTCCCTTTCTTTCAGGCGTTTTAAATCCATTCTAATACCAAACTGCTCCTGTTACTCTCAAACCTGTGTGATGGTTTTTGCTTGGTTTTCAGCCTACTGCTTGCTTAGTCACTCCTTCAGGAGGAGGCTCCTGAGAACTAGAACTGGGGTAGGGAGAGCTGAGAATATCTGGAGTCAAATCTCTAAGTATTTGGTTCTAAGGGGCTGATGTTTGCAGCTGGTAGAAATTGTTCCAAACTTCCCAGTCCTTGGTTTCAAGCTGATCTCAGACCTGGCTCTGTGCCACTGGACTAAGCTGGAGTAAACTTGAAAACGCCACTGCAGACTTCCACTAATTTGAACAATCCTAACTCTGCTGTTCTGGCTCGTTTGTTTCACAGTGAGATAGCATAGTGTTGGCTCTCTGCTGTTACATTGTTAGGCTGCTAATAAAAAAACAAACATGCATGAACTTATTTTTAGGGTGTTGAGACTTCCCACTGCTGTAGAGAAAGTGCTAAAGCATCTGTGCTGTGTCTTCATTTGCTAACTGGAACGTCAAAGCAATGACCTTCATTTCTTCAGTGTTACAGTTTATCTCCTTATAAAGAAGGGAGTCCCTGGGAAATCTTGTGGGTCCTTGATGATCTGGAAAAAAAAAAAAAAGGAAAACCAAAATTCTGTTCTCTGGCTTACCAGTTATTGGCACATGTGTGCTAGCCAAAGGAATAACTTCATTATGTTAGGGCTGGAAAACTCCCTCCCAATAGGAAGCAAGGACACTGAGCGTGGGGGGGACGTGGGGAGCCTGACTCATCCATCACTGATACATAAAGATGCCCTTTCAAAAAAGGCAGCATGCCCCACCAGCAGCTTGTTCCTGTGTTAGTGTCAGGTGCAGTCCTTGTGCAGGAGAGCTGTATGTGTTTATATGAATGTGCTTCAGCTGTTCTCTCTGGGCATGGCCAGGAACATCCCAAGCTGCCTCTGGGGCTGGCTGCTCCTGCTGGTAGCGTGGCTGGGAGGAGCTTGCGTGCCCTGCAGTGGAGTCGGGAGGGTTCCTTGGTTACCGAGCTGAATCAGGAGTAGTCCTTAATCCCCTGAACCCATATGTGCAGCTTAGCTGACAGACTTTTATTCTCAAATTGTTATAGCCTGAGGAGAAGGGCTGAAGTAACTTATGTTGGTGCTGGCTGTTAGAATGGTTGGACTGAGACTCAACTACAGTTTTCTGTTTCTGCTCAATCAGTCTTTCACTAAGGATGACCAGTTAGGATGGTCAGGTTTATATTTTAATAATACTGGATTTTTGTATCCAATATCAGATTTGGATGCTGCATTCAATACTACTTTTCTGCAAGACCTGATTACCTTAAAGTTGTTGAGAAATATGCCTTTATTTTTTAATTTAGAGGAAATAAATTACAAGGTCCTTGCTGTGACAGCATATTCCATAGATAGGACTCACCGAATGACGTTATGTTACACAGATGGTTCTACACCCACTGCTGTTTTTTGCACAGTGTACTGGGATTAGGCTCTCTGGAAGAAAACCCCAAGGGCAGATTTATTTCCCTACATAAACCTTTCGACTGGTTTAGTAAAAGTAAGTCACAGGAAATACTCTTGTACCAGTACTGTCTGGGACTTCAGTGTTAATGATTAACTCCACGAGAGTAAAGGAATTGCTGTGGGATTGCACAGTGTGTGTTCCATATCCATCATGCCTGTGTGAGCACAGTAGTGTCTGTGTGTATTGTGGGGGAATGCTACTTACTCATCCCTTGTGTAAATTCATGCTGAATAAAGGTTGCTTATCTCTCTTTCAACTCTAGGAACTTTCAAACTTACAATAGAATTCACAGAAGAATACCCAAATAAGCCACCTACTGTCAGATTTGTCTCTAAAATGTTTCATCCAAATGGTAAGTACTTACACAATGCTTGGGTTTACTTTTGCTGTTTTATTGGAGGTTTGGTGGTGGGGAAGAGAGGGCTGGGGTGTTTTTTGTTATAGCTTGCTGTATAAAAGGTCTGTTTATTACAAGAGTTTCCACTAAAAAGGCAGCACAGTTCCAGTGTGGTGGTGCAGTTTTGGTGAGGATGGATATGTGAGCAGTGCTCAGGCTTGAAAAGAAAGGGGCAATAAAAGGAGCCTCTTACCTTTCAGGTGTTACAGCACAGTACTGATGAGACACTCAACTGCCTGTTAAGCCTTGCAGAAGAATGTTTTGTACTTAAATAGCAGTGCTTTGGACTTCTGTCTGTATGTATTGTAGACATAGCATAGTGACACCAGTGAATGCAGCTGTCATCTGTCACTTCCCCAAAATGCCTGTAGGAATGATGCACCATGAAATGTAGTGTTAGGGTGCAGCTACAGCCAGTGACAGCAGGATTGTTTAATTAATCCCCTTCCTTGATAACTAAAGGCTGGAGAGGTATTCCTTGCCTTTGTGCAGAAATACCAGAAACCTTCCAACATGGCAAGTGTGGGTACAGTGCAGGGAGGGAAGGGTCTCATGGAGCTGCTGTGAGTCAGGTGACTGAAGTCTGTTGTAGAGATTTCATGGGGAAACCTTGAGTGTGAACAACTGTTTGTGGGTGTTCTTTGTTTGGTTCACTTCTGGTAGCTAAAATTTTTTTATCTTAAAATCTGTTCATGGTTTTCCACGGTGGTAGTTGCAATGACACAGAGAAATTTGTGAAGGAATAACTAGGGGTTGAGTTTAAATACTGCAGGCTTCTGTTGGTGAGGAGCTTCACTGCTTCCTACCTAGAGGCCTATTTGCAGGATTTCAGCCTGTCAGACACTGGACTGTTGCAGTGTGTCTGTACATAGGTTTTCAGGAGTGGGCAATACTAGGGAGAAAAGCCAGTAGCTGTACAAGTTGTGTTTTAAGCTGGTTTTTTTGAACCTTTCCAGTCTATGCAGACGGTAGTATATGTCTGGATATCCTTCAGAATCGCTGGAGCCCCACTTATGATGTCTCCTCCATCTTAACATCCATACAGGTAAAAGAACTCTGCATGAAGAGACAGAATTACATTAGGATGCTTTGACAAAAACAGCTCAGGAAACTTTTTTCCCCCTTTCCTAAGAGCCAGTATAGCAGCTATGATATTGGCAAAGTGTGAATCCTGCCCAGGTGTGAACTGGCCAGGCAGTGACACAGGTGGTCACTGCAGGGGCCCACCAGCAATGCTTGGCTGTCACAGCCAGTCACCTGCACTGTGCAGGGGTGACACTGGTGGCCAAAGCCTCTAATCCCTTCAGGCTGCAGGGGTGCAGAGTGCTGCACCTGGACTAACATCTCTGCTCTCACTAGTATGGGTGCTCTAGAGGATGTGTTGGAAAGCTGTACTTTGTATTGCCTAAGGATCTTTTTCTCTTTGCACAGTCCCTATTGGATGAGCCAAATCCGAACAGTCCAGCAAACAGCCAGGCAGCTCAGCTATACCAAGAGAATAAGCGGGAATATGAAAAACGGGTTTCTGCAATAGTAGAACAGAGCTGGCGTGACTGTTGACCCAGGATGATGCAAATGAACACTCTGTTGATGAGGAAAATAAACAAAGTGTCCGAGTCATCTTTTTCCTCCTAGCATTTACTTTGCAAGCAAAATAGCTGTTGTGCTGTTGCCACCCTCCCTTGCTGAAGCTTCTTCTCCTTGGACATCAGAACGCACCCACTTTGAAGTCAGACGTTCTGTACTTGGGTTACTTGCAAAAGAGTTACTGATGCTGAATTCATTTTCTGTGGTCCCTCTCCAGTCTTAGGGCAGTATTGTGCATTTCTGTAGTGTACACTAAGCTTTTAATTGTAATTGTGTTATACACAGTGATGCTTATGTGTAGCTTGATAAAAGGGATGTTTATATACATACACATTTTTTAACTGATATTAACTAAAGTGCTGATGTGTCCGGGCTGGTCACTTACCTCTACTATTGGTTTAGACCCCACTGCATTTCTAAGTACTGGGTGAAGAAATCATCTTTTGTTTCCCTTTTGCATTGGTTTATCAACTCCTTTACTCATGTTAAAAAAATCAACTCTTCAATTGATTCCAATTCAAAGATTTAGTAAGACCCTGGAATGCTTGTTATTTCTGCACTTCACATGCAAGATTTATGTACAGATCTACATAAATCACTACGGCTGTAGTACTTGGATCTTTGCTGAGGGTGAGAAACAAGCCCTTTTTGTTTTATTACTATTTTAAAGGACATGCCTACAGAAACTGTCAGTAGGTTTCCATAGTCCTGTCACCGAGGCATTACTGGACAAAACCAGGCAGAGCTGTGGTACTCAGCAAAAGGCCTTCCACATTAAGGAAGAGGTAAAACCTGACCTGTTCCAGCGATGGAATTACTCTCCTTCGGTGTCTTTCTCCTGCCCCTTATCTTTAGCTGAGAAAGATAAGTTGTTTGGGATCTAACTTTGTCTTGTGGGAAGTTTGAATTAGGTCCAGGGTAGGCACTCGAGTCTGCAGTTTCTGCTCTTCGAAGATGACCGCGTGGTTTGTGTGAGCTACTGCTGCATGCTTGAGTTCGTTCCCTTCAGTTTTATGGAAGTATTTTTTCAATTCTGAAAAAAACATTTGTAAGTCCAGTCACTTCTTTTGTAAGGCAAGTTTGTACCTTTGGATACAGAACTTTAAGCAGCAGTGTGGGATGGAACCTGCAATTGTGTTGTCCACTGTTCCAGTGTCTTTTGTGTGCACATTGGTCTGTTAGTTGAAAAGTATAACTTTGCACAAGTAACCCATGTAAGAAACTGTACATTTTTCAAAAGTTGTAAATAAAGTGTAACCTTAGTGCTTATTGTATAAATAGGCAAGAAGTGTATAACTGTGCTTATTTAACTGGGCTGCCAGCAGCTGGGTGTGGGGTGAAGCTCCAGCACTGAGACAGTTCCTGCTGTGGGCAGCAGTGGGGAGAGGCGTGCCTGGGGCAGTGAGGGAGACAGGGCTGGCTGCACGGGCAGGGACACAAAGGAGCCTGGGCCCCGAGTTAGCTACAGCAACTTCGTGAGCTGTTGATACAGGAATTGCATTTACTTTCCTCCTGTCTTAGCAGGTGGAGAACAGGATTTATGATGAGTGGCAGATAACAGGAGCTGGTTTCTGTACAAGTAGCTGGGCTCTTCCAAAAACTTTAATGCAGATTTGTACCTGCAGTGAGAGCTTGTACCCCAGAACAGCCTTGTGCCTTACGCGGGGCAGCTGTAATGCCACAACCCTTTCTGAGGGAGCCGAGACCCTCTAATGCCACAGAGGCCCTGGCCACAGTTCCACCATTCTTGTGTTTGTTTCACTAGTTAGAAAAAAACCACAGAGTGGACTCTTACAGCAGCCAGAAATGAGCAGCACAGAGCTGCCAAAGAAAATCAATCTCACCTTCAACCTCGCTCAGGCAAGGCCTTTGTCCACAGCCTCCACCATGGCCCTGTGGTGCCTCTCGTGAAGGCTGAGGCTCTGCAGCCCCCTGGGCACAGCGACGCTGCTGAGTCCCCACCAGGTCCTGCACAGGCAGAGGGGTCACAGCCAGGACCCGGGACAGGAAAGGCAACATCCTGCACAGACTGGGCCAGCTGCCCCCGCTGAGCTACTGTGACTACAGCTAGGCCCCACCTCTCCCAAAAGAGGCATTTTTCATCTTGAATCAGTGGAACTCTTACTGCCTTCCTTGGCATCACCAAGCTCTAACCACCCGGTGCATACCCAAGCAAGGGAGGAGGAGCTTCACTTCTTTCCCTAGAAAGTACCAGGCTTCTTCCACTCCTACAGCACCATCTGCTACAATCCAGCATTCCTGAGAGCAGAATTCAGACACAGGGAGAAGAAATGCACAAAAACCAACCCCAAACAAAAGGGAAAAAAACCTACTTTCAGAATTTACTGCCATATTATTTTTCACAGCAGGAGCAAGTTGTTACTGAGCAGACCAAGCAGGCAGAAGTTGTGCTGCAGCTAGGCAGAGAGGAGAGGACTCTTGGTCTCTGCCTCCTGAGTCTCACCTGCCAGGGCAGTCTCTCCTCTTCCTTATCACACTGCAGGGACTAAAATCCCTCTAACTGTTCACCACCAGGACATTCAGAGGTTAGGCATCCTCCCTCACCTCAGCCCTGAGAGCATTTAAAACCAGAACAGAACAAGAGGTGAGAAAAAAGGTAGAGGAGAGTGTAAAGATTTGGAGAGGCAAATAAAAGCAGCAGAAAATGGCAGGTGATGGCTGAGACATGGCAACAGGAGACCTGACAAAAGCACTGCATTAGGACTGGCTGAGTGGTACAGAAGCACCTGCAGACCCCACTGCTGACAGAATAACAAGCATCTCTGGGCATGCCTCACTCCTGGCTCTTCCAAGGTCAGCTGCTATCCTTTAAGCTTCCTAAGCCTGAAGGGAGTGTTGTCCAAGGCTCACACAGCACTGTGTCCTGTAACCCTGCTGGCAGAGCAGCGCAGATGGAGGCCAGAGGCTGCTTCCCAGTAAAGGAGGGGAGCACTCCAGCCTCCCAGTGGCATAAACTGGCCCTGGAGAGCTTCCACACTCACACGAGGTCAGAGCAAGGCCAAGAGTTTCCTGGGGAATCCCCCTCACCAGACATAAACACCGGTACAGGGATGGAGCAGAGAAATAACCAGGCACAGATTCAGTTTTGTTCAGGATTAAAGAGCTGATATTCCAAGTAAAAAAATAAGTTATATAACAGTCCCCACAAGCTACATGAGCATCTTTGAGCGTGGGCTCTTGCATTTACCTCCAGTTTTTATATTTCACACTTCACCATGGTATCTGCACATGTCAACCGTTCTCCAAGGTAGAAAGGCTGGAATTCTCTCAGTCCCATTCGCTGGCAATGAAGGCGCCTTCAGTGACTCTCAGAATGGGAGACTCAAGGTAGAAATCTATGAATGAAACTACCACTAAACTGGTTAAGGTTTACATACTGTACATATACACACAGTACAGACAAGACCTCGATATATGTATTTCTCAAGAATAATCAAGTTTTCACACTTTTTTTCATACAAAGTGTGACAAAACCTTTTTTTTTCCAGAAATAAAACTTTATTTTTGTTGAAATTAATACCAATTTTACATACAAGTTTATGCCCCCGGACTGCATTTCCTTTGCTTTTTAAATTTTTTTTTCAAAAAGCTTTTTTTTTTCCTTCCTTGCTCAACAAGAGCAAGGGACCTATAATTTTAAATTATGTCAAATTCCTTCTCGTTGGACATGTGTGTTTGCTATTACAAAACTATTAAAATGTGAAGGAACAAGTAATATCAAAGACACATACAGTAACAGCACTACTGCTTTTGGGTTGTGCTAATGCGCTTGAACAGAATTCGGTCGGTTCTAAACACCTAACAACATTTTAGAAATTATATTGCCAAAGTAAAAGACTTTAATGTCATTATTACCCACGAGAAAAATGCAGCATCTCTGTCTTTAGTCGAGTGGCAAGGAAACTCAGTCTCTGGTCAAAGGGGACACCTCACCTCAGTTTGCTTGGGGCATGATAAGCTCGTAATGCCCAACCTGGCCTTCCTGCTTCAGCTGGTCTATCAGATCTTCCTTGCGCCGCTTCCTGCTCACCACCAAGTATCTGTTGTATCCCTGCCCATGGGATTTACTTTTAAGACCATATTTTTGGGCAATTTGATGTATCTGTTTCCGCTCATCCATGGTCAGTTCTCTAGAGAAAGTCAAGTCAACGTGACTGTCTGAACGTGCATAGTTTCGAATGATCTCTTCAATATCTCTCTTAGCGATTCTGTTCACCCTTTCCACATCAAGCCCAAGTCCTTCCCTTTTGAACTGCTCCTTTACTGAAATAGGCTCCCTAATTCCTTCACCATCTTTCCCTAGGCCACCGCCTGTCCAGCCCATCTTTCTTAAAATTTGGTT